GATAATATATCTCATCTTCTTTTATATTGTGCTAAACCGTTGCGTTTCCTGCTCTTGGGAAGCTGGAATTGAGTCCCAGTCTTGAAGCCTTTGAGATTCCATTGTATGGAAAGCAGAGGGAGGTAATCCTTTATTTGACTTATGGCAGTCCCAGCTTCCAACTGTATTTGATACAGATGTGACATAAGAAATAATAGAAACACTCCTCCGAAATGACTTAAAGTGGAGTTCCATCCAAAAGGGGAAGGTCTGCTTGTCTGCCTCCGCTGCCACATTTGGCACCTTTTTGGGGGAAGGAGGGCATGTACCTTGTTTTGACATGTATCCACTCCTACTTATGGCTCAGTTTGCGAACTGACCTGGAAGTTCGCCCCTCCTTCCCCCGCAGCTTTCTGGGACACTTCATAGGTCCTAGAAGACTGCAGCCCATTCACAAAGTGCAGCACACTTCATGCATGCACAGTGGGAAACCGGCTGTGAAGCCACAGGGCTTCACTGCCGCTTTCCCTTAGTCAAGATGGTTGCGCCAGCACCTGATAGCCGATTGAAGAATCAGCTCAGGTGAGGACATTGCTGGATCCTTGGACAGGTAAGTGCTTCAATATTTGTAGCTGCTGACTTTACATTTTTTTTTTTGGGGGGGGGGAACCTTTTTAAGATATAGTTAAAGGAAAACTAAACCGAAGAACACAAATGTAATGTATTGAAGCTTACAGTGTTTAGATGTAGTGGCTCAGTTTGCAAAAAGACCTGGAAGTTCGCCCCTCCTTCCCCCGCAGCTTTCTGGGACACTTCACAGGTCCTAGAAGACTGCAGCCCATTCACAAAGTGCAGCACACTTCACGCATACGCAGTGGGAAACCAGCTGTGAAGCCACAAGGCTTCACTGCCGCTTTCCCTTAGTCAAGATGGTGGCGCCAGCACCTGATAGACGATTGAAGAATCAGCTCAGGTGAGGACATTGCTGGATCCTTGGACAGGTAAGTGTTCCAAAATTTGTAGCTGCTGACTTTTAATTTTTTTTTGGGGAGGGGGGCAGAACCTTTTTAAGTTAAAGAAAAACTAAACCCAAGAACACAAATGTAATATATTGACGCTTACAGTGTTTAGATGTGGTGGCTGCATTAGTTTACTTTTTTCAGAGTAAGCAAGTACAGTAAAATACCTGTTGATAATGCCAGAAATGCTGTGTCCTTGTCACTTTCTGTGGTCTGCAAAAAATATCTTCCTTCCTAGCTATCTTCTGTAAATGAGCAATTTCCCTGTCCTCCAAGTAATGGAGATGAAGAGATAAGTACATGCTTAGGGTCCATATTAAGAGAGCAGCCAAGGTTGACAACCATGGTCCCCTCCATAGACACACTGGAAGGGTGGTGTAGCCACCCAGGAACAGGAAGTGTGTGTTGTTGTTTTTTTTTTTTTCTAAGGATTACCAAGTGAAAATAAAGGAAAAGGATCTGTATAAAATGCAGCCACCAAACAAAGGACTAGTAATATGTAATTTATTACATTTTTGGTTCTGGGTTTAGACACACTTTTCAGAATAAACTATATTTATTGGATGTAGACAGGTTTTAATGTAATTACTGAGGACATGTTCAGAAGCTATTATTTCACGTGAGTGTCACTTTCCTGTAGGATTTTTTCTTATCACTTATCACCACTGAGATTTTACTGAGACCTTTTCTTTATGAAATTGATAGGAAACTAACATCTAAAGTGCCTGCTATTGTTCTGAGCTGAAAATAAAGGAACTTGGGAGTCACTCCAGTAGTGAACAATACTTTCCAATGCAACACTGCTTTACCTTCATGAAAAACATCCAACTGTAGATGCAAAAATATCCAGCAAAATAGTCCCTTGGTATTATCTGCCACATGTAGAGGAAGTTCAATTCTGGCTCTTTACTCCTGCTGATTTCCATCCTGGCTAGTTGACTCCTGCTGGCACTGAACTGAGTTACTAAATAATACACACCATTCAAGGGGCTGCCCCAATCAGACAGTTTAGGGACCTTTTAACACTGCCCTGCAGCCCAAAGCACCGCTATCTACAGTGTTTTCAGCTGGAGAGTGGTGTGGTAGAGGGTGGTGTGATGTGATGTGCAATTTATTGCATCACACAGTCCCCAATTTTTCTTGATTTTTTAAAGAATTGAAATGTACAGACCATTCATGTGCATGCAGGACCATGCAGAGTGATGCGATATAATGCAAACATTTTTAACCGCTTTCCTTCCGCCCAATAGCAGAAATACTGCTACAGGGTGGCAGTGGTGCACAAAGTAATGGATATATGCTGATTTCGCATTTCCAGGTAGGGGGTGCACATGAGTCGCTCGCGTGGCCTCGGCTGTCAATCACCAGGTCCCGGCCAGTGATTATTCACCAGCACCTGGTGATCGCTGTGTATTACCGACGAGGGAGATAACTATATTTAAACAACACAGATCTCTCCCCTGTTGGTTACAGCACACTGCTTTGTATGGCTCTGCATAGCATAGCATAGCAGAGCCATACAAAGCAGTGTGTTTACAGTGGAAAGCACACACACAGTCTCATAGTAAAACACACAGCACACAGTTAACTCTTTGATCACCCCAGATGTTAACCCCTTCATGCCCAGTGCCATTAGTACAGTGTCAGTGCTTTTTATTAGCACTGATCACTGTATTGGTGTCACTGGGGATGTCTGTGACACCAAATCAGTTCCTCCCAGTGTCAAAATGCCGGCCGCAGTCCCGCTATAAGTCGCTGATTGCTGCCATTACTAGAAAAAAAACAAAAACGAAAAAAAAAAAACTTCCAGTATATATACCGCCATTTGTAAACGCTGTAACTTTCACGTAAACCAATTAATTGACACGTATTGTGTTTTCTTTTTTAGCAAACACATGTAACAGAATACATTTTGGCCTAAATTTGGTTTTTTTTATTGGACATGTTTAAACGCAAAAAGTAAAAAATAGTTTTTTTCTCAAAATTGTTTGTCTTTTTTTGTTTATAGCGCTAAAAATAAAAAAAAAAAACACACAGGCGATCAAATACCACCGAAAGAAAGCTCTAGTTGTGGGGAAAAAAAAAAAACATTTAATTTTGGTGCAGCGTTGCATGAGCGTGCAATTGTCAGTTAAAGTAATACGTGCCGTAATGCAAACAATGGCCTGGCCAGGAAGGGGGTAAATCCTCAGGAGGGAAAGTGGTTAAACACTGTGTTCTGGTATGAACATGACACACAGAGAACTAGTGTTTTCTATATGTCATTGCACTTACCTGTGTTTTTCCACTTGGAAAGACGCAGATAACTTCCCATAGTGTGAATGGTCCTTAAGATGCACAAATACTTACTGGATCAGAAATTTCTTGTGATGGTATCTGGATTTTAATATTATAGATTTACTTACACAAAAGCATCAATTTATACTGATTCTTTGAGATGAGATGAATGAAATGATCCATTTTCAAATATTTATACCATAGATTGTAGACTTTATATCTTTCACACACACTAAATAATATGCACTGATTTGGGTTATTTTTACCAAAGAAATGCAGCAAAATACATTTTGAACTAAATTTATGAAGAAAGATTATTTATTTGCAAAGTTTTATAACAGAAACTAAGAAAAACGTGGGGTTTTTTGTCAAAATTTTAGGTATTTTTTTCATTTATAAAGCAATAAATAAAAAACCCAGTGGTGATCAAATACTACCAAACAAAAGCTCTATTTGTGTGAAAAAACATGTAACTCGTGTACATTGTTGCATGCTCGAGCAATTGCCAGTTTTAAAACAGCATATAGTGAATAGCAAAAAATGCCCTGGTGATGAAGGGGATAAAACCTTCCAGAGGTCATATGGTGCAAATAAGAGCTACCTGAATGTTGTAGTCCTCATGCACACGGGACGTTTTGATAACGCTTGTAACGTTAGCTGTGTAAAGTCACATTACAAACGCAAGTTTTTCGGCTTTTATTAGCGGTTTTGCATTAGCGTTTAGCCGTGTTTTCTCAAGTTTGCGTTTTTTACCATTTATTTTGACCAGAAAAAAAATATTGTGTCAAAAAAAGTCCAAAAACGCTGGTTTGCGGCATTTTCCGGGTTTTTTTTTAGCATTTTACAGCTAGAAATGATTCTAGAAACACACTAGTCCTGGGTTTTTTTTCCAGCAAAAAAAACATCCCTGTCCCTGGACACATAGGATAACATGCTGGGGAGTACTGGCTATAGAAAAAAAATGTCAAAAGCTAAAAACAGCCGCTGTAAAAACATCCCGTGTGCATGAGGACATAAGCTTTTCATGAATTAGGAGCAGGACATTTTAAAGGGACCATACTACCAGAAAAGTGTTGCTGATTCACCCTCACTGTATTTTTCTAAACAGTCATACATTGATACTGAATACCACAATGAATCATACACACAAGGACTATCACGAAGCAAACAATCCTGTTGAACAGTACACTAGCTTCACTGTGTGCTACATTACTATATTCCATCAGCAATCCTCTAGAGGGAGCCACAGAAGCATTTTTATCCATGATGTAATTGCTATGGGATTATCATCATATTACCCCCTCGTCTGATTTCACGCAGTGCAGACGGAAATAGAAGGAAGTTACACTTTTGTTCCAACCAACATGCTCTTCCTAGAAAAAGATTATTAATAGTATAGAGGCCTCTGAAAAGGGCAGACTGACCTTACTCATCAACAAAGCTTTAACCCACAAATGTGCTTTGTAAAAACACTGGAATGCATTATATTCTCCCTGTACACACAACGCATTTTCTGCAGCTAGCTGCAACTGCTGAATGCCCAGTTTTGTGTGGCAGACTCCATTCAGCTGCCAATAATGGTGCAATCTAAACCGCATTACAAATCTGATACTGCTGACAGTTTAGTATGCCCACGAGCCATATTTTGTTTAGTAAAGGGACCAGTGAATGGAATCCCACAAGACACTGGCTAGTACCATAGTCTATTCAGAGGAAACTGGCAGGTCATTGTTTTTCAGACAAGGAGGTCTTGTTGAGACCATGGTGTGCAGGATCTGCAGTAGAGCTGTGTTCTTCAGCCTGGACATCAGCATCTTCCTCCTGTCTGCCTGTGGTGTCACCATCATGTGCTGGTGGCTCCTGGCCAGGCGTAGCAGAGAAGGGGAAGCGAAGCCTGAAGTAGTCAATTCCCTGGAGGTCAGCTGAAAGAAATATAGAATTGGGAGATATGTGAGTGTACCTAGATATGTTGGGAGAGATTTACTAAAACATGAGCACTCAGAATCTCGTGCAGCTGTGGATGGTAGGCAACTAGCTTCTAACTTCAGCTTGTCCAATTAAACTTTGACAATAAAACCTGGAAGCTGATTGGTTTCTGTTCACAGCTGCACCAGATTTTGCACTCTCCAGTTTTATTAAATCCACTCCGTCATGTCTATTGTATCTAAAAGTGAAGCTTGCATTGTACAATAAAGTACTAGGTTTGTGCTCCCTATGTTCCTGGAGATGCCTCCTCGTCACTGAGAAATCACTGATAGCTGCAGTCTACACCAGTGTTTCTCAACCTTTTTTCAATTAAAGCACCCTTTAAAATTATGGACAGTCCCGAGCAGGGGTGGACTGACAATTCATGGGGCTCCCGGGCAATAGGGGATCGTGGGGCCCCTGTGTCCTTGCCCAAACTCAAAAAAGCATATGAAAAAGATACCAGGGGCATCTCATGGGGCCCCCTACTGACCCCGGGCCCTCGGGCAGTGCCCGAGTTTCCAAATGGTCAGTCCACCCCTGGTCCCGAGGCATCCTTTAAAATTATGGACAGTCTTGAGGCACCCCATTCTAAAATTGGGTGCCTTAAGACTGCCCATAATTTTAAAAGAGCACGCCATGCCAAAATGTGAAAAACGTTTCTAATAGTTTTACATAATGCAGCAACATCCACACATGTAGGACACCCAACACTAAAGGTGATTTATTCTTCCAAAGCAGATACACATTTGCACACTGGTACTGAGTAGTATTCCAGTGTTTCTCTTCTCCCTCACTGTGCTAATGTGACCACAGCACTGATGGAGAGGGGCAGGGGAGGGTCAAACTAGTATGCTGTGCAGGCAGCTGACATCCTCCTTATCAACTGATGATATCATTGGTTGTCTGGACGCCGGCGGCTAGTAGGTTGTAATGGTGCACAATGAAAATCTGTGGCTTAGTGCAACTAAAAGGCAGGCTTCACCCACCCGCTGGCTTGTATACAAATTTTGGGCAATTTTTTGACATTTTGCCAAGGCACCCCTGAAGAAACCTCAAGGCACCACAGGGTGCCTGGGCACCCTGGTTGAGAAAGGCTGGTCTACACTTTCCATGGAACAGCTAATATTCATATATTAACCCTGCTGCAGTAATGCTTTTAACTGAGCAGCAATCAGTGGTCATGGGGGCTGTGAAGGGACTCCACCACATCAGGGACTGCTTTTGGTTAAAGCAAATCTACAGACACAATGTACAAATGTAACAGACAGCATAAGTTCTAGCTCTTGGCACCTGTGTTTTTGGATTTCTAGCAAATCTTGTAGCTGCTGACTTTTAATAAAAGGACACTTACCTGTCCAGGGATCCAGCACTGTCCTCACCTCGGCTAGTTCTTCACTCGTCTCCGGGTTCCTGACGCTGGCATCTTTAGTCCTCATACACACAGGACATTTTACAAATGCTCCTCCTGTTGGAAGCAGCTTTTTGGCAGAAAAAAACACTTTTACAAATGTTTAGGAGCGTTTACTGATGTCACGCGTTTGGGTGTTAATTCATTTCATTGGCCAGAATATTAATTTATGAAATGAATTCACGCTCGAGAGCTACACATGCCTAGCATTAACATGCATTTAAGCGCAGTTAGACGCGTTTACACGCATCAAGTGTTTTATTTTCTGCCACAATGCTGCTGCTCCTAAACACCCTGGGGTTTTTCTCCTGCCTGTAAACACCCCTGCCACTATAAGCTTCTAAAAGTCTATGTTCACATGGACACATAGGATAACATGGTATGTTCACATGGACACATAGGATAACATGGTATGTTCACATGGACACATAGGATAACATGGTATGTTCCATGGACACATAGGATAACATGGTATGTTCACATGAACACATAGGATAACATGGATGGATGTTAGGAAGCAGTAAAAAAAAAAAAAAAAAAAAAACTGCCTGATGCCCCTAAAAGTGGCTGCAAAAACACCGTGTGTGCATGAGGCCTTGGTGTGGTAAACCGACTTTGACAGCTTGTAGCTTCATAGCTGGCCTCCTACTGCTCATGTGTGAGCCATGCTGTGCTTTGTGAATGGTCCCGCAGCCTTCTGGGACATGTCAGAAAGCTGCACGTGAAGAGAGAGGGGCCTAACTTCTGCTCAGAGTGACAGGGAGCAGGTAGTTGTTGAAACTAGGTACTTGCTCCCCCCAAAACAATTACATGCCAAATGTGGTAGAGGAGGCTTAAAGTGGGTTTGTAAACCTCAGACATGAAATATGAACAAAGCATATCCCTCTTTAGTGTGTACTTGTCTCAATTAGGAGCGCTAAGTCTCATTTCATTCTACTGCTTTGTTCCTTTGCTATCAGCATGAAACTGTTCTGACAGGTTTGCCTGACACCAAGAGAAAAATGGTGACAGGGGAGGGACCTCCAGCAGATTGACATCCTCAGCTCTGTTCCTGTGTGCTATGTGAAGGGGGGTGTGTCTCTTCCCTCCAATCAGCACTCAGAACTCTCCTCACTGAGCTCTGCAGTGTGTAACTTCAGCTTTCCACCCCCTTTTTTCTGAACTCTCACACAAGCTATATAAATTCAGCACTTTGAATGGATGTAGAGAAGAGAACACTATAGATGGACTGGTACAACTTATGTAAGGGGATTTGTTTAATCTCTGTGTATCACCTGAGGCCAGTCCCTTCACTGGGTATATGGAAGGGTTCACAACCACTTTAAAGCAGAAATTCCCTTTTTGGGTAGGTATTTAATGATAAGACAGTGATGTTTTCCATCTTCTATAACATGACTTCTCAGCACAATCTCTACTAACCAGGAGTGACCAGAGGGCTCAGTGGATCCTCACACTGCTGAAAAGCATCGCTGGGTTCCAGCTCAGTAATGTCCAGCGGTTCTGACAACTCCAGAGAATCAATATTCACCTCCATTGATGATACACTGTCCAGAGGAGCTGTGAAACACAGAGAAATACATGGATGGAACATGCGCAATATTTTCCTGCACGCTCATACAAGTCATACAATCTTTACTAATATCTAAACATGAACATTTCTTTTGCTTTCATTTCCCAGTTACGCACTTTAGTTTCTAACACACCTACTTGTGGTGATTTCTGAGTCTGGGCCTCTTCCCTTTTTTGTTTGCTAAAGACTTCTGCCACTGGTGTTATTTATTATTGAGGAATACTGTATTCTGAAATCGTGTTTTATATTTAACTAGAAAAAAAGAACAATCATTGTGCCAGGAAGTAGTTTAGGATGTTTAAGACATTGTGATTTTGTTCGGCCACTTTTTTAAAGCCAAAATGTACCTAAAACAAAAAAATAAATAAAAATCAGCACAAGTGACTTTACTTACCTTCAGTGACGTGTCCCTTTGTCCTCCTTTCGATGGAACCTTTCCTTCTCTGATAACCCCACCATCATAATCACCATGTGTGGCAGGGGTTAATATAACTAAGGGACTGCGCCAGGCTCTCATCAAGCATGCCTAACTATGCCTGCCCATTCTGCCCAGCTCCTCTAATTATAGAAGCCATTACTACAGCTTCTATGAATGGAACAGGGATCTATGAATGGAGGAGGCAGACCTATCAATCATCCATGCGTCCTCCATTCATAGATCGTGCTTCATTCAAGAAGCTATAGTAACAGCTTCTATCAATGGAGCAGCTGGGCAGCAAAGGTCAAACAGGTTCATCCACAACGCATGGAGAGATGGTAATATATTTACACTACCAAATCATGCAAACAACGGATTTTAAAGCTGGGGCAGATATAAAGGACACAGTCCCTATACAGCAGGGTTTTGCCTAGGGAAAGGAGAAGCAGCACAAGGAGTCAATCAGTTATATACTGCAGTAGTACAAAGAGCATGCTGATAGGAGGACAGAGCAGGGTGACAGAGAGTTGAGCTCTTTAATCTGCCTCTTCACTTGTATGTGTTACTGAACTGCAGCAGAGAAAACACAGGCGTCATCCTCTCTCAGAACTGGATGGACAGAAATGCAAATCATATTAAAGATAAAACAGTTCTGCTTTATATATTTGATCTGTGTATTCAGATATTTGCCTGGAGATGAGCTTTAAAGTGCAATTAAACTCACATTTTTAAAACCGCTGACATGTAGGGTTTTTATGACATACGAGACTCTGTTGGTCTTTTCTGTCATGACTACTTCTCACTGCCTGTCGATAGTAATTTACAGTGAAGACAAGAAAGTGGCAAAAAAGTTGCGCAAAAAGTGAAAAAAAAAAAAAGCTCCTGGCAAAACAATCAGATCAATTGTGTACAAAGAAGCATAAATAAATTGCCACACTACACCATCATTGTTGTGAAAATAAATACATAAATAATGACAATGTATATGAATGATAATAGCAACATATAATCAAGTCCCAATTGAGAAATCGTGAATAAAGTCCCAATATTCTGTTATTGTGTAATCATACACTGCGTGTCTTCAAATGAACCAACTACACCACCACCAAGTATTGTTAGGACTCTTACCGGAACATGTGGACCCTTAAACTAATAAGAATCATAAACGCATGAATGTAAAGGCCTGAAGATGTGTATCCACCATAACTCTCACGCAGAGGAAAGATGCTGGACAATCATAATGAGCGGAAAGGATCCCTTCAGGCTATCCCCATCTTATATGTCTCTCCGATATGTGCAATTAGACCGTAAAGGAAGACACAGGAGCGCAACATCGCATAAAACCATATAGACAATTTTATTAAAAGTGTTGAATTCCATTCGCATTTAACTAGACAAATATGCGCTGTGTACCTGGTCCCAGGAAGCAATCCAACTTCCTGGTAATTGGAAACAAAGTGATGATGTCAGGAACACAGACTCCACTCGATGCGTTCCGTCACAAATGACATTGTCTGGGGCATCTTTCCTCTGCTTGAGAGTTATGGTGGTTACACATCTTCAGGCCATTACATTCATGCGTTTATGACTCTTATTAGTTTAAGGGTCCACATGTTCCGGTAAGAGTCCTGCCAATACTTGGTGGTGGTGCACTTGGCCTATTTGAAGACATGCGGTGTTTGATTACACAATAACGAAATATTGGGACTTTATTCACGATTTCTCAATTGGGACTTGATCAGGGGTGGATTGACAACTCACGGGGCACCTGGGCAGCAGGGGATCATGGGGCCCCTGTGTCCTCGCCCACACTCAAACCACACCCAAAAAAGCCTATGAAAAGCTACCAGGGGCATCTCATGGGGCCCCCTACTGACCCCAGGCCTCAGGCAGTGCCCGAGTTCCCAAATGGTCAGTCCACCCCTGGACTTCATTATATGTTGCTATTATCACTCATATAATTTTCATTATTTATGTATTTATTTTGACAACAATGATGGTGTGGCTCGGCAATTTATTCATGAGTGAACTGCGCATGCACAGCTCAGCATACATTTATGGCACCACTCTGTACCGTGACACTGTGACTCCTGTGTGATGTCATTGTGGCCTGGTCATTCAAGCGGCTGAACAGAGTGAACCCGGAAGGAAGATCGGTAGAGGATGGAAGTGCCTGTGATCAGTTAAAGCGCTGGAGGGCATCTTCTGACAGGTAAGTCAGCTATTATGTGCCAATATGCAGTGCATGCTAGTACATTATGGCATAAACCTCCTAGGGGGTCCATTTAATTAAAAAAAAAAGCAGAGTTTAATTCGGCTTAATGGGCCTGGGTTCACACCTGAATCGCACAGGAACACCATCTTCACAAATCAGTGCGGTGGATCTGAATCGCACAGGAACACCATCTTCACAAATCAGTGCGGTGGATCTTCAGTGCAACTGCACTGGATCTTACCAAAAGTAAGGCATGTGCTACTTTTAAAAACGCATTGCAACTGTATTGGAAGGTACTGTGGTAACAAGCGATCCAGTGCAGATCAGCATTTGGGGTGTCATTAGGAATACTTTGACACTCGCAGCAGATTACACACCCAGTGCGTTTTGAACGTGGTGTGGGAAATGTCCACGGAATGTGGGTTTCCCGCACCACGCTCTGGTATGAACAAGCCCTAGAGCTCCATTTAGACAGGCAACAGTCCTTGCCTCTGAAAAGCATTCATTGGCGGACCACTTTTCAGAGGGCGGTTGACAGGGGGATGGGAGGCGATATGTCCCTTCCTCATTTCCAAACCGTAAGCTCCCCTAAATACTGTGTGTGTGTGAATGGTGAAATGTTCAATGTAATAACAGAAGAATATGTTGGTTCAATAGGATTAACAAAGAAGATCTAGAATGGAGAGTAGATTTCTTTAAACAGAACTGGATCGCTGTTACTGAAATCCACATACGCTGACATTTACATTGACACCCAAAACAAACTGTTAGCAATGACAGATATGCAGAAGTGGAATGCTCACCCCTGACATTCTCTGTATATTTTCATAGTTTAAAGCATGCTGAGCAAGTGAATACGTATATCATACATCTGTGATGTTCCAGAGGGTGTGTACGTTGTATATCATACATCTGTGATGTTCCAGAGGGTGTACGTTGTATATCATACATCTGTGATGTTCCAGAGGGTGGGTGTACAGAGGGTGTACGTTGTATATCATACATCTGTGATGTTCCAGAGGGGGTGTACGTTGTACGTTGTTCACATTTATACATTCTCACCAGTGTACTAGCTGTGAATTAACAGTAACACCACAGCAGGCACAGTGTTCACATGTATTATGAGCCACTAATAAAGCTGGTGGGATTTAAAGGGCCACTTCACCCCAAACATTTTATTTAAAGGAAAAGCCTTGTGGGCTGAATCAGTCCCTGATTTCTCATGCAGCAAGAACTCACTACCCTTTTCGGACTTTGCTCCGGTCCATCTGCAAATTTGGATTTTTAAGCCCAGCTCTGCATTTTCAAGCACCGGTTAAAGTCTCTAAAATGTTCAATAAATAAACAATACAATACAACAGGGAGGGAACCCCTAATAATGGCTCTATTAGGTGTGCAGACTCAGGAACCCGGCTGCAGAAATCTCGGCCCCAAGAAGTATAGGAAATAGATGGTTGATACGCCACATATACCAAAAACTGTAAAGTCAGTCTTGGGTGGACTGAGCCTTTAATAAGGCAAAGATTAGTGTACAGTATCCCAAAATGACCCTGCGTTTGCTGCTCAAACTGGTTGAACTTGATTTCTTGCTGTCATTTGCTTTTGAAATATACACCATCATTTACTGCAGTGTTTAATTGTAGTAAAACACACATTAAGGAGTTCAATATTTATAAAGCAGTGCAGAGAGCAATGATGAGTACAGTAATCCAAAAAAGATCTGAAATCGGATTGGTTGTTATGGACACAGGGCTTTTTTTCATTGGGAATGCGGGGGAATGCAGTTCCAGAACCTCCAGCACTGAATGTATTTAATGGCAAGGGATGCTGGGGTGTGCTTGGGGGTCCATTGATGCTCTATTGTCCTTGGGGGTGGATCTATTGTTGAAGGAAGGGTCTGCTGTTGCTGGGAGGGATCTACTATTGAGGAAGGGGTCTATTGTTGGCTGCTGGAGAGTCTGTTAATGCTGGCTGCTGGGACATCTATTGTTACTGGAGTGGTATTTTGTTTCTGGGGGGTCTATTGTTCCTGGGGAGGGACCTATGTTGGAGGGTCTGTAAATGCTTGCTGCTGGGACATCTATTGTTGCTGGAGTGGTATTTTGTTTCTGGGGGGTCTATTGTTCCTGGGGAGGTATCTATGCTGGAGGGTCTGTTAATGCTTGCTGCTGGGACATCTATTGTTGCTGGAGTGGTATTTTGTTTCTGGGGGGTCTATTGTTCCTGGGGAGGGACCTATGCTGGAGGGTCTGTTAATGCTGGCTGCTGGGACATCTATTGTTGCTGGAGTAGTATATTGGTTCTGGGGGGTCTATTGTCCCTGGGGAGGGATCTATTGTTGCTGGGGGGTTATT